GGTCTTTGGTCCAAGGGTTTTGGCCTGGCCTCAGCTGCTCATGTCACCCGGCTGCATCAGACCCAGCACTCACAGCTGACAGAGGGGGCCTGCCACCCCTCCCAATTGCATTCCTTCCAAAGGTCATGGTGCAGGACACACGAGGGCACCTGCCACACATAGCCCATAGCAATGCCAGGGATAGCTGGAAAACAGCACTTGCACACTCACACACACATGTGAAAAAGGGCCCCAGGCCTATGGAGGAGAAACTCTGGGCAGGGATGCTGGCCCTAACCAGGCCACAGACAGCTTCTACTCTGAGACAGAGAAACAAAGCCAGGCAGACACTCACCACAGGCGGTCAGGCTGCTGCTGCCCCCAGAGCCCTCTACCCTGCATCCTGACTGAGTAGGATCAGCTCCATTGAAAGGGCTTGGCAGACTGCATTCAGACCCTGCCTTCCACTCCTGGGACCCTTTTGAAGGATGTCAGCCCAGGCCTTTTTCCTGATCAGAGTGACTGGAAGCAAAACAGGCTAGACTCTGTCACCAATGGGTAGAGCAGGGGTCCTGGGTCCCACACGACCCACTCAGCAGAAACATTACCAGCCTTCACAGCAAAAAGGGCTTCAGGTTGGATTTGGTGAAAAAAACGGAGTGAAGTGATATTGGAGTCTGGCTTGGGGACTGCTGGGGACAGAGTGGGCCTGGAGTCGGCAAAATGAAATTTTATAGGCCCCCAGGGTGGGCTGCTGTGCCTAGGCTGGGCCAGGTTTAGACCTTCCATCTAATCATCATGGGTGGCTTAGGTACTCATGGGCAGAGCAGGGGTTGATCTGCCTGGGGTCAGCACACTAGGATCAGCAGTGTCTCTGGGTAAGGTTTACCACCTTCCCTCCTCCACCCTGCCATATGAGCCAGGGGGCAGCCAGGAGGCAGTCCTCCCTCAAAGGCCTCTACCATGCCGCTACCAAACTCTCTCCTCTCTTTTCACCCCCCCTCCCAGAGCACGCCCCTTTAAGACTGGCTACCTCTCCTGGTAGTCTGAGCAGTCCCTGCCACCCCTTCCCTTTCTGTGGGTGAGCCCTCCTTCAGAACACAGCAAGGGTCACTCCCAGAGTCACTGATACCTCCATTCCCAAGCCAAGGTTCCCATGCCCCCAGACCTACCAGGCCCCCAGACCTACCAGCCCCACACGGGACCCCAGGCCTGCCAGAGGCCTGCCTCCCTCTGCCGCAGTCAGCACACTGAATATTTAATGTCTGACAAGCACTTCCACCTGCTGACACAGGCAAAGTGGCAGAACAATGCCAGCGGGGACACAGTCCCTCGCAGGCAGCCTCCCCAGGCCTCACTAGACCACGTGCTCTCTGTCGGTCCCCAACCTCAGGCAGCCCCCATGGGCCACCCCTCAGTCTGGCGAGAGAGTTCCTAGCCTGAAATACATACTTCTTTACATTCCATAGCTTAGCAGGTCCATATGGGTATATAAAGAAGTATGTGTCCCAAGCAGGTAGCTCAGGGTGCACAAGGATGTTGCCCCAGGAAGTGGCCTGGCACAGGCCAACCCCACTCACGGTAGAAAAGGCAGAACTCCCCACCCAGTGCCACATGCTTGAGTCCCCCGTCCCAGCTCAGGACCCATTCCTTCCCCAATGAGTCTCCTGTGATCATCCCTCTCAACCCAGCACCCTCGCTGCCTCTGTCTCACTCCCACGTGTGCATGCGTGGTGAAAAAGGTCAGGAATCAGAAAGAGCATACCGGAAAGTCTCAAGATTCTCATTCTCCCCAGCAGTTGCTCAGTTTTGCAATAGAACAAAGCAGTTCTCCCCCACTCCCCACCCCAGGGGCAGGAAGTACCATTCACAGCCCAGACTTTTAGGGGTAGTACACAACCTTGGCTTCCTTCTCCTTCCTGGCCCCCTTGTCCCTACCAAGGACAGACAGGACCAGATGAGGAGACAGAGCCTTAGTAGCAGCTCCACCAAATGGACCGTCAGGGCCCCTGGCTTCCCAGACCAAGAACCAGGCACATCCTTCTCCCTGGAGCTGGATAAACTCTCTGCTCCCTAGGGACAGACGAGGGAAGGCAGTGTCAGGAGACCCCAGAAATGAACCGGGGTTGGGGGGGCTTACCTGGATAGCTGGCTTCCTGGGCAGGGCCCTGATGAATTCTGTGTCCCAAGATGAGAGTCCCCAAGAGGAGGGCTCAGTGCTTTCTTTGAAGAAGCTAAGGGCAAAGACAGTGATCTTGGACTCTGTGGCTAGGGGCTGCTGAAAGGCGACCTGCTCACCACCAGCCCCTTGGGGCCCTGCCCTGGCTTCAGAGCTGATGCCCAGCCAGAGAGGGCGTGTTTCTGCTGCGGTCACCTCCTCCTTTGGTCCCTTCCCCGTTTTTCTCTTCTGTACCCTCTGTCCTCTCTGCTCCTCTGATCACCAACCTGAGCCGCCTCCATCTCTGCCACACAGAACAGCCACCTGAGATGATAGTGAGAGGCTGGTCCCCATGAGCACCCAGGGGTCACCCCTAAAGGGCTCATACCTTGCCTGGTCCATCCAACCTCCACCAGTCCCCAATCAATAGCAGTTTACAGCTAAACACAGGGGCTGTCCTCTTGGGCCCAAAGATCTCGGCGCACACCGGCTTCTGAGAAGGGTGTAGGGAAATTCGAGAAGTGTAAGCGAAGCACTTTGGGAACTTAGTTGTATGTTGTTTCTCCTCTTGGTTTTTGAAATCTCTCTGGAAGTTAAGTGGAGGCTTCTTTCTGCCCTACCAACTTCTACACCCAGGGTGGAGCAGAAGGGAAGGAGTCTGAAAAACACAGAGAAAGAGATGGATGGGATCTGGAGGTCAGGTCTCCAGTGGCAGAGAGGGAGGCCACCCTCGGCCTGAGAAAAAGAAAAGGAGGAAAAGGAAGAGGAGGAAGAAGAGGAGGAGGAAGAGAAGGAGGAGGAAGAGGAGGAAGCAGGGAGGAGGAGGAAGAGGGGAGGAGGAGGAAGAGGAGGAGGAGGAAGAGGAGGAAGGGGAGGAAGAGGAGGAGGAAGAGGAGGAGGAGGAAGAGGAGAAGGAGGGATGGAGGAGGAAGAGAAGGAAGGGGGGAGGAGGAGGAGGCAGAGGAGGAGGAGGAAGAGGAGGAGGAAGAGGAGGAGGAGATGACTCTGGGTCTAGGAAGCTCACCATTACCCACGGTGAACCTTCAGGTGAGGTGCTCGGACTCTGGAGGAAGAGTCCCTGAAAGTGGCTGCCTTCAGAGAGAGCTAGAGATATCCATTGCAGGAGGAACCAAGCTGGTAAAAATACAAGGGTTCTGGTTGGGCTTCTCCTAGTGTGGGGCGTGAAAGGGCATTCAGTTCTTCCTTGTCACCAAGACAGTGTCCAGCATGACCTGACCACCCCTGTCCCTAGGAAGGAACAGCCCAGAGGGTGTCCGGACTCTCTGATCACTGTCTCTGCAGAGCTTGCAGCATGCAGAGGTCCCCCAGCTGTGGCAACTGCATCCAGGCAGGGCAGGGAGGAGGATTAAGGTGCTGAGAGGTACCTGCATGCAGCAGGAAAAGGCCACCTGGTAGGGGACAGAAACTATGCCCATTTCCCATGTGGCTGCTACTAATTTTTCACGTCCACATAGCCAAGGATAAAAGGGCAGCCAGGACAGCAACCCCAGCTTCCAGCCTCTGGGGGTGTCCCTGGTGTGACTGAGCCACTGGCCCCGCCTCCTGCTCAGGCTTGCTGAGAACTCTAAGAAGATGTCTCAGCCCTCTACCCCACCTCCCGGTTCTTCCTATGATGAAGTCTGGGAGTCAAACAGAAAGTTTGGGGGAGCCTGAAGGGCAAAAGAGTCAACCCCGTCCCAGCCAGCATCTACGTGAGCTGGTGCTCATTCACAAATGTTACCAGAGTCACTTTTCGGAAAGTTTCCCACCTTGAAGAAAAGTGGCATCAGCCATCTCCAAGCAGACCCCTGTGGCAGGCAGAGCTGGCACCCGAGCAGCCTTTATGCAGAGCTCCTCAGCAGCAAACACGGGCCCAGCCCCAGCCCCGGCCCCAGCCCCAGCCCCTGATGCCTGACACAGCTCGCTCCTGATCCTGGCAGGGCTGGGAGAGGCACTAAACCCTTGTCAGCGCTGCTCGGAGACACCCCCCCCCCAACCCATGGTCATTGCTGCAAGTTCCGAGGTAAGTTTAGCCACAATCCCTGCTGTTGCACTCTACTAGTTAATCTTGTCATAGACCCCCGGGTCTCACAGCACCCCCACCACACCCACCCAGAATGGCGACCCCATCCGCCCTGTCCACCAAGCATCCAGGGCGCCGCTTTCTTGCAAAGAGCCGCATGTCAAAGTTCCTGCATCCCAGTTGGACGCGCCCTCCCAGCCCTGCCGGCTGCTGGCTCTGCAGTTTTCCAAATGTGGACGATGCTGCGAGCCGAGAGAAAACTCCAGGCACCCCCGCCAGAGCCTCGCGGCACCAGCACCCACAGCACCCACCTCGCCGGCAGGCACACCCCCACCGCTGCCGATAAGTTTGCAGGGGCCATTCTAGCTGGTGAACGGCTGCGGCGACCAGCCGAGGGACTCACCCAGGAGCCCTGGGCACCCCTCGGGCCGGGCTGCTGGCCGAGGCAGCAGTGGCAGCGGGCGCAGGGTCGTGGCTCCCGGGGACGCTGCAGCAGCAGCAGCGGTAACCACCTCCTCCTGGAGCCAATCGCGAATGCAGGGGTGGGGGCGGACCGGAGCTCCCAAGCGTCCGCACTTGCGGGAGGGGGGGCGCAGAGAGAGAAAGAAGACACCAGGCACCCCGACTCCGCACCCCTGCCCTTCCCCCAGCCCTCCTGCAGCACAGCAGACTTAGCAGCAAGGAGATCTTGAGAGAGAAGGAAGAAGAGGGAGAGGAGAGGGGAGGAGAGAGGGGAGAGGGGAGAGGGGAGGAGGTGAGGAGGCGAGGAGGGAGGGGGGGAGGGAGGGAGGAGAGAGAGAGAGAGAGAGAGAGAGAGAGAGAGAGAGAGAGAGACCGATGCAGAGTTAAGGAGGCAGAGCCCCGATGCACACCTTGCTGGGCCAAAGCTGCAGAAGGCTTCCGCACCTCCAGCCCAGTAAGTACCAGGTAGAGGTCAGGGCGGAACAAAAGGGGAAAGGGGAAGGCCCCCGCGGGTGTGCACGCTCACACATGCACACGGCCCCACAGGCCAAGACTCACGCAGTCAGAAGGAGGGGAGGGCAAAGGAGGGGAAAGCCTGACCCAGGGCCTGTGGGGCATGGGGGCCCTCGGATCAGGAGCGATCTCACCTTGGCAGTTCTTATATACTGAGCCAAGCATCCCAAACACGCCGCCCGGCCAAGTGGCCCCCCTCGGGCTGTGCGCCCTGACCATATTTAGTCAAGCAGGGGAAAAAATAGCCTGTCAGCTGGGCCGAGGCTGGCTGGGCAGCCGGGAACAGGGTGGGAGCCCCAGCACCATTGAGCAGTCCTGGGCTGCCCTGTCCCCTCCCAGCCCCTCCCTGACCAGCCTCCCACCGGCTGTCCCTGTCCTGAGCCCCCTTCTATTTTTAGCCAGGCCCAGTGCAGAGGTGTCTCCTCGGCAGTGGGCAGTGGCCTCTCTCTGAGGCCACACCAGCTTACTCCTCACAATGCCCTGGAGAGACCTGAAGCTCCAGGGAGCAGAGAACAGGGCTCACTGAGGGAGCTGGCTGCCTCCTGCCCTTAGTTCTCTAAAGGCCCAGCTGGTCCAGGCCTGCAACCTGTCCAGAGCTTTGCCTTTTTGCTCAGAAGTGGGGTTGGCAGCTGGCAACAGAGCCACTGGCCTTCCTGAGGTTCCCAAGCCAATCCCAGGTAATAACTACAGGTCAACTTGGACTGCAGGCAAGGCCAACTCACTTGCCACCTCTACCAAGGGGATGGGACTGGAAGACCCCAAATCCACAATACTGGGTATGATGGGAGTGCCCCTAGCCTAGCTCCCACCCTGGTTATATAAGTGTGTACCTGGGGACAGATAGCAGCCTGGGATTGGCCAAGTCTTCCTTCAAGCTGTGTGGCACTCAGTCAGGTCTTTCCACCAACATGGGACGATGAAGTGCAATGGTAACAGACTGTGAGGACTTTGGGACCCACTGGTGGAAAACCCGGAGCAGGCCCCACAGGGGCGAATGAGTGCCCCTGCTGCTGAAACCCTGTCCAGAGCATGGGCATCCAGAGGACTCCCGCTGTTCCAGAATCCACTCACAAGCCTTCCTCCCACTGTACCAGGAGAGATGTCCCCCACATCCTGGCCAGTGTGGGGAGCATGCACATCTGCACCTAATCCCAGGGGATACCTGTCAGCAGCCCGCCTATACCCCTTGGCACCCCTCCCCAGATGGTGAGGTGAAAATGCCCCCCAGCTTTACTGCTGGGCTCTTAGTCTCTCTCTACTCCCAGCAAGAGAAGACCCTGCCCCAGACCAGTCTAAAGACACAGGAGAGAGGAGATGAAGCCATGCCACAGTCCCTACATAGGGTGGCTTGACAAGTGTCCTAATTGGGGAGGGTCCCCAATTCCCCCCAAGCTGGGGTGGGTGCAGAGCTGCAGGGTCTCACAGCCTGGGTCTCACACAGGCCATAGGGCTGCCTCTTTCCCAAAGAAGGGCTAGTGAGTGTCCAGTCCTCAAGGTCCCTAAGACACAACCAGATGATAGGCTTCCAGAGAGGAAGGAAGCCATTAGCCCTGGCCTAGGCAGGAATCAGGACAGCTTCTAGCCCCTCAGAGCCTTGCTGTTCACATGTGAGGTGACCAGGTACCTCCTCATGGGGGACAAGAAGAGGCTCAGCTGAGTTCACCGTGTTGCCTCAGGTCCCCTCAAGATTGCACCTGTGGTTAGGCATCTCAGCACTCGGGCTGAAGCAGGAGGATTGCCCAAGAGTTCAAGGCCAGCCAGGTTACATAGCAAGACTCTATCTATAAATAAAGTATACATATTATATAATTATTCAATATTACATATTGTATAATTATGTACATTGTATAATACATTGTATGTACGATGATGTGGGTGATGGGGAGGCCCCCAACACCGTCACCTTCTTACTTATCTTTGGGTCTTACACTATTTCTCGTGCTCAGAGGACTATGAATAAATAAATGACCATGACAATCATCTGACCAATAGAATCACTGATCACTAGACAATAGGGCCAAGGGTGACGCACAGTAGGGCTGAGTGCTCTGGCTGGAACCTTTTTGATGTGGGTTCAGCTTTGAATGAGGCTTGGATCTTATTTGAGGAGGGGCAGGGCAAGTGTCCCTGGTGGGTCAGCTCAGTCAGAGGTAATAAAGACCTCCCTTCCAGGTCCCTGTCAACAGTGGCTATGAAGGGAACCACTCCCCACAGCTGTGTGGGGCTCCTGCAGCAACCACCTCAAATCTGGTAAAACTCCAATCACCCACAAAGGCTGACCCCACCAGAGCCTTGGTGCCGAGAACCCAGTGAGTTCCCAGAGCCAGTGTTTTCCTGGTCTTTTACACCCCAGCAGGGACCAGCCACTGACCCTGGACAAGCCAGCCCTGGCTACCTGCACTCAGGAATAGGAGTCGGATGCCCTTGTCACAGAGACAGCTCTTCTCATTTCTCTCACAAAACCCACTGACATCCAGATGAAGCAGGTGAGTTCCTTGAACCAATCCTATCCTTGTGTGGGACAGGGTGGCCATGAGCACATGACTTATTTCTTCCTTGGGGAATGGGACGGAGGAGACATTGCCCCCAAACAACCCCCGCCTTCCACCTGACCATGCACGAATCTCTTTCATTGCCACCCTGACCACCCCATGCCAGTGAATCCACTGCAGGAAATAGTTGAGCATCTCTTCCAACAATATCTTAATAAGCCACAGCAACTCCTCTCAGAGGCACATGTCTGAAAAGTCCCAGCAAGATTGTTCCCAATACAAACTGGGCACACTGGACGCCTTCGTCTGATGGCCAGGGAGCAACACATGGCATATCCACAGGGTAGAATATTATTTGGCCATAAAAAGGAAGGAAGCTCTGGAATGTGCTACAAACCTTGAAAATATGATGTGGAGTCAAAGAGACTGGACGTGGGGTCACACACTGTGAGTTCAGGAAATACCCAAGACGGACACATCCAGGGACAGAGTAGATCTGCAGTTCCTCAGGGATAGGTGGGAGGGTGATCACCCAGGGAAGCTGGTCTCCTGCAGATGATAAGGTATTCTGAAAGAGGACAAAGGTGACTGTTGCAAAGCATTGTGGGTACTGTAGATGCTGTTGGACGAAACTCTTCTTTATTTTGTTGGGTTTTTTTTTTTTTTATCACTGAACTTTTTTTGGGTTTTTTTTTTTTTTTTTTTTTTTTTTTTTGCTTTCTTTCTGAGACAGGGTCTCATATGGCCTCGGCTGGCTACAAACTCACTGTGTACGTGAGGACGGCCGTAAGTCTGATCTTACTTCTGGGGTCCTGGAATCGCAGGTACACACCACCACTCCTCGCTTGGTTCTTTTCATCTGCTGTGAATTTCTCCTCAATTGAAAAGAAGATAAGCCCAGCCCACCCTCTCTCCCCAGTGACCTCCATACTAAGCTGACTGTCCAGACCTGGACACAGACGCCAGGAACTTTGAGAGCCCTGCTGCTGATTTCTTGGGTGCATGTCCCAAGATGCTGTAAGTGAACTCAGTTTCCTTTATTCAACACTGTGTACTGCTGGAACATCCTGTGAAGTGGACAGACGATCGTCCTCCTCTTCTCAGGAACACTCCGGAATCCATGACCATGTTATACTGAGTAGTCGTTAATCTTCCTTGTTAACTTAATGGGATTTAGAGTCACATGGAAACACGTCCCTGGGTGTGTCTGTGAGGGTGTGAGGACGTTTCCAGAAAGATTTAACTGAGGTGGAGACCCATCCTGAATGTGGGCAGCTCCATCCCTTGGACTGGGGTTCTGTACTGAAGAAAAAGGAGAAATGGAGCTGTGCAGCAGCCTTTATCTCTCGGCTTCCTGACCGCAGATGCAACTCAAACTGCCCTTCTACCACCGCGATGAACTGTACCCTCAAATGATGAGGCAAAACAAACCTTCCTTTCCCTAAATTCCTTATTGTCAGGGATGTGGGCACAGTAATAAGAAAGGTAACTCAGATGCCTTTATGGCAGGAGGGTTCGGGGGGGCTGAGGTGGAGACGGTCCTGGGTCATCTGGGGCCAATGCCCTCACAGGGTCCTTATTGGGGGGAGGACAGTTAGCAATATGGGGAGTACTGGCTTTGTATGGAAGGGCCCAGGAGCAGAGGGTCGTACAGCTCTAGAAGCTGGAGAAGGAGGGGCATGGACTCCCTGCATCCCACAGAAGGACTCAGCCAGCATCAGAGTCCTTCAACTTCCAGCCTGTAAGAAAGTGAACTAAAAATCAAGCACGAAATGTGTGGCCATGTGTTACAGCAGCCACAGGCCGGTCATATCCTGCCTGTGAGTCTCCAGGGACCCTCCCAGTGAGCAGAACCAGAAGCCCCCAAGGACCTGCCCTGAGACTCCCCATGGCCTGTACACATGGAGGCCCCATCTTCCCTGTGCCCTTGGGCTCTGGCCAGCTCCATCCAGCATGCCCCACACTGAGTTCCAGGGAAGCTGGGCAGGGTAGCTGAGGAGAGAAGGGCCTGGGAAGGAGAGGGCACTGGTCAGGGAAGGGAACAAACTTGATGGCAACTTGAGGACACCCAGTCTGCCTCCTGTGGCTATGCCCACATACTGGCTTTCTGTGTTGGTCTGGCCTGGGCCTGGGGGCTGGCTCCATAGGCAGGAAACGACAGACTGGGCCCCATGCAGAAGGCCATGACCCCTCCCTGCCAAGGTCCAGCCCAGGCATCTATGGCTCTGTCCAGGATAGTCACCTGACCACTAAAAGCCAGGAAGTAAAATAGACATTGTGGGGCCACAAACCCTGAGGTACTTCACAGGCTTCTGCTGAAAGTGATGTCCCTGGGTATCCATGCAGCATGCCTGGTCCATTTACTGGACTTCTCACATGAGCACAATGAGTTCCCAACAGGGGGCATTTCCCAGTATCAGCTGACCACTGTCCCGTCATTCACTGTGTACACTCATGTTATGTGGTCACTTGGGGGCTGGGAAGGCTATGCATGCCAGGGCAGCCCATGGAGCAGAGCTACAGATGGAATGCCCATAAGTATGAGGCATCCCCCCTGATACTACAGGAGCCCACAATCCCCATTATACCTGGGAGGCTGCCATGGCAAGACCTGGTGTACCCACATGCACACACACAGACAGCAGAACAAACACACCACACACACACACACACACACACACTCCCTTAGCAGCGGAGGATAAACCTTCCTGGCAGCTTGTAAAAAAAAGGCATATTTCACTGCCACAGTGTCAGCAGAGAGCAGTCTGTCTTCGGTGATGGGCGTCCCATCCAGGATGGTGGCAGCTCAACTGTCAGCAGATGTGGGACACTTCGGGGTGCCCAGACCAAGGGGCAACATGGAGCCTCCTGCCAGACCCGAATTACTCAGCAACTCTGGGTCAGCACCCAGAGCCCAGGACAGACAAGGGACTGCAGGCCGGGCAGAGGACAGGTCTTAGGATCCATGTTGACCCCTGAGGCTGGGGTCAAGAAGTGCTCTGAAGTTACCCCCCAGCTCAGGGGTAAGGCTCAAAATCAGCTTTCCACAAGCAGCTGAATGTCCCCTGTGGAAGACACACTAACACCCTGGAAGAAAACCTAGGCCAGGATTCAAACCCCCTGGAGCCACAATCTGTCCTACTTTGGAGGATGAGATTAGTGCTGGGGGTGAGAAGGGAACCCCTCCTGTGGCCTCTCCCCACCCACAGTCTATCATTTTCCCTGGGGATGGTCAGAGGTGATATTCCGACCTCTGCTTACCACAAGATAACCCTACAGGCAACAAGGGACACAGAGCAAGAAAGGGAAACTAGGTGAGTGCCTTGCCCTGTGTGATCCCCCAGACCATGCTTTCCTGTCTAGACGGATGCCCCACAAGCAAGGACAGAGTGAAAGACAGGCTGACACATGGATGGATGAATGGAAGGCTGAATCAAGGGCCAATTCTGACTGCATTTTAAGAAATTTGCCCCCAGGGTTTGTGAAGTTTCTCCCCGGGAAAGGCTCCACTTTGAAGAACTATACCACACCCTTGGACCTTTTGTACAATAGACAAGCAGCTACTGCAAAGGCCTGAGCCCACTAAGATGGGAGACAGCGCAGCTGCCCCTAACTGCCTTGTCTATGGACCCTGCACCCTCAGGGACTCCATCCCTACAGTGGTCAGTACTCCACTTTCCCAGTCACCAGTCAGCCACCTGGACGGTTTCAGGAGGTTTGGTAGTATGGGGACTGCTCCCTCTGGAGCATGGAGAATAGCTCAGAGTGGAAAGGACTTGGCCTTGAAGTGGTACAGCTGAGGTTTGGGGTGGCCAATTTCAGGAGGGCTTGGGATGCCAATCCCCAGGGACCATGGGTGACTCCTTATGATGACATAGACTCCCTGCCAGGAGTGATCTCACTTTTTCCCCCTCCATCCTGGCTCCTAAGCCAAAGCAATGGCCTCTGTTTCAAGGCATTTTCCAACACGGACATGTTGGCATCTCCCAGCTGACCCCAACTCAGGAGTTCATCTTCCATGACAGCACTGTAGATCAGCCCATCACGCTGAGCCCCTGCTGAGCCCCCTGCTGAGCATCCATGACCTTTAGCCTTCAGGCCCAGCCTGCTCTGCCTTTTCTGTACTTGCCCAGCACAGAGCACCCCCAGTAGACCTACCAGCTCCTGTCTTCTCCCAAGATGTCTCCTTGGTTTTGCCTTTGGGTTTTGATGCAACCCTGGGTGCATCTGGGAGTCCCCCCTCATCTCTTCCAGAAGAGCCAGGCATACCCTCTGAGACACCCTCCGTGTGCTTACCGTATTGTAAGGGTCCAGGGACCCATGGTGACCAGGAAGAAGGGAAGCTGGGGTAGGGGGTGTCTCAGCATGCCCTCTCTGAGCTAAAACATGGTATGGGGAATGAGACAGAGGAAGGAGGGGGAACTGCCTAGGGAAACAAAGACTGGCCCTGCTGTGTATTTCTGGTCTTTCCAGAAGCCTCCTGCCTTAGATACCTTCCTCCATGTGTCTGCCCTTCCCCAGTCCCCTGCTGTCCAGCCTGGTCAGCCCTTTAGGTCCTGGCCACTGGGCAGGTCTTGCATTCTGAGGACCACATTTCCAATAGCTGGCATTCTCAGGAAGAGCCTGATAGCACAGGTTACAACCTCACACCGAACATCAAGGCCAGAGTCCTCTCACTCATCCCCAACATACACAAGGCCTGTCTCTCCCAGTGGGCAAGGCTCCTGGAGTGACCCCAAGGCTGTGTACAGGGTCCCTGTGGCTCCACAAGGAATATTCTGGGCCCAGTCCAGGGTGAGACCCCTGGTGTAGACTCAGAATCCTGGGGCACTCTGGGGTCTGGGTCATTTCACAAACAGGTTAACATGAAGCAGAGATCCAGAGAGCAGGTGGCTGGACAGAACCTCAGCATCCAGCCATCTTCCAGCTCCCATGAGCCTCTGCCTCTTCTTGGACTTATCTTCCATCAGCTTTGCACCAGGAGGAAGTGAGCCCTTGTCCAACTTTGAATACAGCTCTCCAAGGTCCTGAAGACCCTCCCACTTCTGTGAGCCCCCTCCCCCAGGCAGTTCTGGTGGGCACGGGAGGCAGGGCAGGGACACAGGGGAGCATCCTGCAAGATTACCCAGCCTCACCCTGAGCCTGGTCTATCTTCCTGCTGCCGTCTTTTCTTCCTCCTCCCTAGTAGAACTTTCCTCCTCACCTGGAGGAGACCATCAGCATCCTTGAGACTCAGAGTCAGTGGAGCTTTGAAGTCATCTAGTCTACATTTGTTGCTCCCAGTGGGTGAGGTCCACCCAGTAACAAGTGATTTCACCTATGCACAGAGTCAGCAAATGTGCATAGAACACACATTTTAGTCTACATTTGTTGCTCCCAGTGGGTGAGGTCCACCCAGTAACAAGTGATTTCACCTATGCACAGAGTCAGCAAATGTGCATAGAACACACATTTGGGACAAAACACCCTACCAAGTGACCTTGACACCTATGGGCAAATCTAGAGGGTGAAGTTGCACAGACCTTGTCCCCTGACCCCCTTCTTTCCCTGGACCCCACGGAAGAAGGGACCCTGCAGCCCAGAGACCTCCCCAAGGCAAGTTGCAGGTTTCCAAGGCTGCCCTTTTCAAGATGACCATGATGAATCTCCAGCTGGGTCATCAGCCTGGCTAGGAGCTTGTCACCCTGCTCCAGCGCAGACTGTAGGGATGACACACTGGATTCTTAGTGCCTTACCTGGCTTTGGCCTTGGCTTTCTCCTCCCAAAGGGAACTCCGAGTCTGAGCTTTTGTGCTCATTAGTTCTAACTTCCCACGGTTGGGTTAGAGGGCTTCTCCTGGGGCCTCTCCTGGGGAGGGGTCAGTCCCCAGTGGCAAGGTAAAGGAAGCAGCCTCTGTCTCCTGGGCATGTCCTCCAAGGAGCATTAATCCAACAGGCTCTCTGCCACAATTAGCCGTTCCCTCATCTCTGCCCTATAAATATTCATTCTGGAAATGTTATAGAGGTGCTTTTTTAAAAACGCCAAACTCATTTGGATAAGGAACTGAACTGCTGCCAAATGCAGCTGGCAAACTGGGCCCTACGGATGGTGCAGAAGTGGCCACTGATAGCCGCCTCCCCCAGGCCATGCGGTGCTCCCTGGGGATTGTTTCTCTGGGGACGGGTTTTATTTCCCTGCGTGGAAGCACACTTGGGATATGAGCGGGTGGGCACCATCCATGAGAGGGTGAGTCACAGCAGCCCGGAGACCCAGCCTTGCAGGCTAGGGTGCGATGCTGACCACCCCATGTGGCTCACTGCCTGTCTCTGCCTGGAGCTTGCTCCACAGCCAGAGGAGTTTCAGCGATCACTGGCCTCATCCCAACTTGTCATGTCCCCCATCGTGATCTGTGGCTGGTTCAACCAGCCTCAATATGCATAAGGATATGTCCCCAGGGCAGTCTGCCTGGGACTAAGTGGAGGCCACTTGCTCTACCCAGCCTCCTGCCAACTGTGTCTGGATGTCGGAGTCCAGTGGGCGGTGGGATGGGACATTCACCTGGGGGCTCAGGTACAGTGTTGACCACGCTCTGGGGTCCCCGAGGAGGCTCAGCTCTCAGGCACAGGGTTCCCAAGGCCACTTTGCCTCCTCTGTCTCCTCCTCCCAGTCAGGCTTTCATTGAGAAACCCCCTGCCGGGAGGGAGCCATCCACTTAACAAGTGGAGTTCTGTTAAGTCCTGATGAATGGCTTTGCCTTCTCATAAAGCTTCAGAGGAAGTCAAATTC